AACAACAATTTATGCGAAAAAGAACTCAAGTTTAATAGTCAGTATAGCAACCTTAATGTCCTTAATCAATGTTTGCAATAAAACCATATTAAAATAATTTGACATAATCATTTTCCGGTCTTCTTTGATTGTGTTAAATGATAGCGATGCAGATATGCACGGAGTAACCTTTGTGCCGAAGGAGCTGGATGRAGTTTTGATAATATACATTACTATTACATATTTAGTGTTATTACAATTTATTTTTCATTTATTTACAAAGTTCGTTATTTTGGCTGAGCATCGACAGCTAATGATCCACTATGGAGTACGAGTCAACTACCGGGTCAACTAACTGTTATATTGATGTACAACCCCAGTGATCGGTTGAACAAAGTGTGAATTATATCCTGGATATCGCTATATGTCATGTACTACCAGGCCCAGACACTTACAGAACAATGAATATTGCGTTGCGGCGGTACACGAGTCATAACTGTGGTTGTTTTGCTGCAATCTTATATAACAGTCATACATTCTACCATCTATTTAAAACATAGACATGCCAGGCTTGTACTGTTGTGTGCAAAGTCGAGATTTAATTTTGTGTATAGAAAGTTGATATTTGATTATGAACAAGAGTTAGTACCGCAGTTTGCTTTCCAAAGAACCGCGCCCTAGATTGATAAACAGTTGTTCAACGATATGTCTAAACCAAGTTAACAGAGACACAAAACATCGTCCAATATCATTTGATAGGGTCTCGAAACTTTAGGACCCTTTGAATATTTTTCTGGTTTATTTAGTAGTAGGTCGTGATATGACAAAATGGCCAGCGCAAAAACTTCTCAGCTTACATAACAGGTAGCYCGTTGATGTGGCCATTAGTGCCCCAAAAAGTAGCGTCAAAAGATCGATATTTTAAGGTGTATATTTGAAATTAACCCATTGTCCAAAGTAACTATATTTGACCCATGATTTTCTCTTTCCGTGTAGCTTGTTATAAGGGTAACATATTTTCAGCTTTACAATGGTTATATTTCTAGTACCTTAGGTTGGTACACCTGGTGCCTCAAAGGGTAAAGCTTCATGTCGGTCTGTTTTACACGACCATCTAGACACGATAAACTCTCATAACAGATTCATCTTCATCACTCGAATCATCGTCTTTTCTTTTCCGTTTCCGTTTCCGTCGTCTCTGACGTATTACCTGGGCAATTTCCTGGTAAACTTTGGTACCAAGTAACGCAGCAAAGAAAAAATTCATAGCTGCTTGCCATTTGTTGATTTCATTGAGTTTCGCTTCACCGAGACGGCAGGTTAACGGYTCAGCGTGACCTAGCATCATGTATGCAAAYACCAAGATTGCACCAAACAATGCTTTACTGAAGTTCTTTCCTTTCCARACAATTTCTCCTAAGAAAAACACCAACGACAAACATCCAGAACAAATCCATAGCCTGACCTCCTCCCCCTCAGAACACACTACTGGRCCGTTGTTATCGATGCTGTCAATCAATTTTAAAACCGCTGTCCACAAGGTAATTATAAACACTGCAAAAATTCCGGTTGGTGCCCAGGAAATGTCGTCCATATCATTGTTATCTTCTGAGGTGTCGTCAGGCTCTTGTATCTCTAAACCTCTGATGGCTACTCGTTTGTCGTTCCTTTGCTGTTGGCGTGYTGCTTCCATGAACTCGTACGCTGTTCGGCCGTTTCCGTTCCCGTGGGCCTGGAAACTTTCCAAGCTACGGTTCAGCGGTATATTGTCTATTCGTGTYGAAGGAATGACGTAACCATTCTGATGTTTCCATGGTGAAGATTGGGGAAAACTACTGGTGCGCGGTCGACCAATCTTTTGTCTCCTGTCCAATGGATGCATTCCCATTTCATCGTTGATTTTTCTATAAACTCGTGGTGCATTATGGACATTCACTGCTGTGACGTAGCCTCCAATGACGTCACTTGATCTGGAATTGGACCTGCTGAGCCTGTATTGTCTGCGCTCAGCGGTAGGTTGATGTGGTTTTTCTATTTTAGTGGAGTGACTTAGGTCGGTACTTTGAGTCATTTGTGAGTGCATAGACGAGTGAGAGAAGCGATCTGTATCTTGCTGACTTTTGATGTTTCTAATATTTTTGGATTCTTTGATGATTTCTGGTTCTTTGTCATCGATGACATTCACTTCCAGTGGGATGCTGTTTGCTTCTTTAATTGGATGGAGACGATCTGTATGAAAAAAATATTGAATAGTATTATATCGTTACACAAACATCTTAACAACAACCACGCAACGGTAATGACGATATTGCTGTAGTAATAATACCAATGGTGGTGGAATTTTGATGATAAATCGTCGACTGATAAAATAGTACCATCACTGGTCATTCCACCCATAAATGSCACTTACTTCGTGTTAAGTGAAGTCCTTCAAAATTCTGATTAAACAAAAATCAAGTGTGCATGCGGAATATATACACTAATATTAAAGCTAACTTTGATTGTACACTGAGTCGATTCACCTTTATATTCTCATTAAATTTATGACCTTGTCCTAAGAGTTGCCCAATTTACCAAGAATATTGAAAAAAGATAGTTACTATTTACTGTTCTTCTGTTGTGTCGATCAAACTAATCCTAGTTCCTATAATATGATGTATGAGTTGATTATTCTCTATGCCTTTMGCCACAGCGATATACAAGCGAGATAAGCCTGCTATAGTCTAGTTTCTGCACAGTCGCTTGTATTGATGAAATAAACATTTGCTACACAACATATTATTAAACTGAACTATCAAATAATGAAAGTACAAATTTTAGATGAATACAGCATCAAGAGAATTGAGAAATTGCACAGCAACGCGATTTGTTTTACTCTTAGAGGTACCGAATGGGAACTTTAATTAATCAGTTGTCACAATCATTTTCTTTAGTTGGATACATTGTAAAACATGTCTTCATAAAAACTATGTTAAAAAACGCTTCGAATGCCGTTAAAGTATAGTGTGAAATAGTAAGTAAAAAAGACATATTTGGCGCTTTTGCTAGATACTTATAAAGAATATTCTTAACAAGATGCTGTGAGCTTATGATTTTGTGATATAGATATAAGTACAAAAAAAAAAAAATAAAAACTCAAAGATAGATTAATGAGCTCGATCTAACAATGGAAAAAATAATAATTATCTTGACTTAAAAACAAAACATTTAAAACGATTCCAAAATCGTTTTAAAACAGCAACAACCTTGTTTCAGCTTTAGCAAAACTTTACCTAAGCACTTTCTTATCGTTTAGAATTTGTTTTTGTTTCTGTAGTTTTGATAATTCATGAGCAGAAGTTTTATAGTGTTAATAAGTTCGTTTCAAAGYCCTACCTTCGTTTTTTAGTTCACTTTCATCATTATTCGTCTCAATTATGTCAGATATATGAGTCCCAGAATCCGAGTCAGCCATCTCGACTTCTAAATCACTTACTTCGCTAACGAACTAGGCTAACCATCCAAGAATACTAATAAAATGTCGTAAAGAATTAGAGGGAACAGCTATTAGCATAAGGCGTTATGATTGGTTAAGACCAGGATTACGTGTAGTGTCATACTCAAGTTTACACAAAGTAATAGAAAGACGTTTTCAGCCAATTATGAATAGGATTTTATTGTCCAAGTTTTTGTGGTTACTTTAACCATCTATAATGCATGTAATTGTGTTATTACTTCAAAACTAAAAATAAAAGGATTTCTATTTGAATTAGGTCAAAACAAACGTGATCTACGAGGATAAACATAGTTTTTACCATAGATTCCATACATTGATAGCAACCCTATGTGCTGTCACTTGCCTTTCTTTGATAGATCCGCCCGCAATCGACAACACGATCAAAAATCGCGTGAGACGATCAGGAAGAGAAGATGAGTGGACATAGCAGGGCTTGATAACCCGATATTTAATGTAATAGAACAAATTTTTTTGTTTCTTGAGCACTGATATTAAACCGTTTGATTTCTGACAAGTTTCAATTCCGTTTTTTTGTTGTAGGCTATTGAATAAATCTTGTTTTTATTATAGTAATCACGAGGAAGCAGAAGCTTAGGGACGGCGGGGTTTTAATGCAGGAAGGAAGGTTTTTTTTAGTCTAAATGTTAGAGCGTTTGATATTCTAAGTGTATTTGATGTTTCATCATGAAGTCATGACGGTCAGTGAAAGACCACAGCCATTCCGTCTATCGCATCTAGAATGACGAGCAAAACAAGAGCAAATAAGAACAAACAAAAACAAGAAAAATAAAAAGACATGGAAACAAAAAAAACTGACAAGACAAAATAGTGACCGAAACAAGCCAATTTTATCTTATAAACAGCTATTCTACGTGCCGCAGACGCATAGAGAAAAAGAAACTAGTTAAATGAAATTAAAAAAATGAACAAGATATTCACYGTTTGAGATAAAAGATATTTACAAGAACACAATAAAAGGAAAATCATTAAAAGAATGACGACAAACAGATAACAATAATAGGAACAACAACAACTACAGCAGGACTTGATTCGTAGTAACTTTGATTCTAAAGCCATTGTATAGAGTAAGCAATCCGCACCGCTTCCTCTCACTGACTGACAAACCAAAATCGAAAAAGTTCATATATCAAGATACACACTATGGTTCACGTTTGTTGGAGTTAACATCCGTTTTATCTAAAAATCCATGGGAAAATCTACMGTTACTCCTTGAAAAGAAAGGACTCGACGCAATGGTTGTTAAAAACATGACATAAATATATGAATCAAAAGGCTCAGCGGATCTCACGTATGCTGCAATGAAAACTGTATCTTAATCTTCTGTTTCTGGTTCAGTAGGATAAATGCCAGTTCATGCTCGCTTTYAATACCAGAATATTATAATTATAAAAATGATAAAATCTTTACGCAGTCTACTACACCAATACCCTTGTTCCAGAGGTTAGTTCTCTTCTTTTATAGATGTTTTTTTAGCACTTATTGTATTTTTGTCTTTGCTTTTTATATTTTCGT